ACTGACACTAACCACTGAGCAAGACCGGCCAGGCTGATAGACACTTCTGATGAAGGGCCACTAGCAGGCTTGCTGATTTGGTGAAAGGACTAGTGTACATTTGGCAAGTATATATATAAGCAGTCACTTAAGAATTAGAATATGAGATAGGAAATTATCTACGTATTTATACCCGTGCTTAGTAATCAATTAAAGTTCTTGCTTCTTTCATTATAATGGAAAGTCTCAAATATCACATTTTCTTAAGCGACTAAAAACAAACTCAGAATTTTAAAAAATCTATCACCTCATTTGTACCAAACCATTTGCAAAGTGTTAAGCTTGTGGGCAGTAAAGGGTGACTCACAGGTGTCTGAGCTGTACCCACATGTCCGCTGTAAGCAGCAGCCTGGTAGGGGGGTACCACCATCACCTCGACTTTACAGATGAAGACACTGAGACACAGGTCTTTGTTCCAGTTCACACAGAGGGTAGGAGGCAACGCTAAGGTGTGAGGATCTGAGCTCAGACAACCTGAAATCCTCACCGAAGGGCAGGGCAGGACTTCGGGGACTTTCCCATCCCTCAGATGCCACTGTGGTGACGGACCACTCCCAGCTCCCTCCCCGTCGGGGCTGCTGTGGGGGCAGGAGCTCTTAGGACCCCTGTGTAGGTGACTGCAGCAATGGCAGGCCCGCATTCCACCACCCTCACCCCATAAGCCTGGCTTCCCAGTGTGGTGAGTGGTGTCTGAGGGCTCGCAATCTGCCTTCTATCTGCCATTGAGGTTGGGGATCCCTCTGTCTCCAGAGGTCTGGAGCCCTGACTTCTCTTCTTGAATTATGTGAAAGGGTCTCCCTTTCCAGCAAGCAGTGAGTCAAGTGTGAGCAGTGTCCCCAGCACAGGACCAGCATGTGCAAATGCATTGCGTGAGGTTGCACTGGGCGTGTCTCCACTGTGTCTGGTGAGATCAGAGTGCCAGGACCAGGATCCAGCTTTGGGCTCCAGTCGGTGGAGCCGGGTGTCTGCCCTGAGCGTGGTTGGAGCCGTGGAAGGCTTGGAGCAGCGGAGGGAGTGACTTTCTGCTGAGGAGGATGAGAGGAAGAAGGGAGGAGTTAGAGGTGACCCCACAGTTTTTGGCCTGAGAAAGGTGTCAGGATAGGAACATCCTCAATTGAGATGGTGAAGTTAGTGGAAATATTACCACAAGTTAGGTTTGGACCATATTGAACCCGTGATGTCCCAGACTTCTGAGTGGAGTTGTCAGATGGACAGCTGGACACAGGTTTTGAGTTCAGAGGAGGGATTCGAGTTGGAGACAGCCGTATAATGGCAGCCTTAGAGTAGGGTGGAGTTGTATATCAGATTTAGAGAGAACATTTGTTATGGTCCCAAAAAATGAGTTCGCGTGTCATAGGTTCGCCTTCACTGGTAATGTTCAGCCTGTGACGGAAGAGGATCTGGCCTCAGTGCCCAGCAGCGAGGTGGAAGGGGCTGGGTGCGCCTGTTGCCTGCACGTGGCTCGGGTTTGCTGACGCTCAGTCCCGGAGGGAGGATTTAAGAACCGAGCTCACAGGTCCCGGTGGCCGTGGGGCCCTGACTGGGGCAGGCGTGGTCCTGGGTACGTGAACTAGTCATTCTCTGGATGCCGTGACCACAGATGGAGGGAGGTGTGGTCTAAGGAGTGATGGGCACGTGCGGATGGAATCTGACTTTAGGACCAGAGGGCGTGGGGAGGGAGCATGCTGGGTTCACACTGGTGGACGAGAGCCATCACCTCTGGGCTCCAGGGAAGGCTTGTGCACTGCATTCCAGGCCCAGACTATGTAGTGTCTGTCCACCTGTCCACCTGTTCTCGACTCGACTGGACAGAACGACTCCTGGAAAAGGGGCCGCTGGGGAGGAAAGTGTGTGAGGGAGAGACCAGGAGTCCTGGGGAGAGGCTGCCCTGTGTCATGCGGGGTCATGTGACTGTTGAGGGGG